CTCCCCCAGGGGGGCCACGTGGAGCCCCGCTGCGCGGGCCCAGGCCAGATCCTCGTTCTGGCGACACTGTGCCGGGGGTGGGGCGGGCAGGGTCCTGGCCTCCATCACCGTATTGTGCCTGGAGAGAAGCACTTCAAGGGGCAGGACGAGGGGAGCTCATTTGCGCTGGGGGGGAACCCCTCAAGCAGGCCCACGGGGGGGCAGAAGCACCGTGGTGGAGATGTTGACAGAGGGGGGCTGAGCCTGCGGGGACACGGGATGGGGGAATCTCCTTTAATCTTCCGTGAGCCTAAAACTACTCTTAAAACAAATCGTTTAAAAGCCAACAAAATGTCAACTATAATTTAAAAAAAATCTACCCTACGGAGATAAATGGGGACCCCCCAAACTGGACCCCATAAACCATGGGGTCACGGAAAGCAATGCTTCGAAGCAGCACTGGCGGTGGTCTGGGGTCCGCTGGGGCAGGGACGGCAGTGGACTTGCTGTGGAGCTGTGGCCACGCGGCTGCGGCCGCCCGCCTGGAGGTCCCGGCGGTGGGACCAGGCCAGGACAAGCGGGGGCTGCGGCCCTGGGAGAGCGGCCGAGGGCCCTCCCGGCGTCTTCGGGCCGCCTGCGCCTGCCGCCCGCCCCGGGGCGGCCTGCCCCACACAGAGGCTCTCGCACAGCGGGCCGGTACCGAGGGTGGCCCACTCTGTGTGGGCATGCCCACGGGCCACGCCTGCTAACGGCACAGGGGTCCCTCACCCCAGGCAGCAGCGTCATCGCCCTTGCACGCCTGGGCCTGCCCGCAGGAGCTGCTCTGGCGTGGCCAGCGGTGCGGGCGGGGAGACGTGGCCGTGCAAGTGGCAGGACAGGGAGCCCACGAAGCGTGGCACTGTCTGCTGTCCCTGGCGGACAGGCGCTGGCCCTGAGGATGGACAGCCATGGACCCCGGGAAGCGGAAGGAGCCACCCTGCCCCGCCGGGTCAGGCAGCCTGTGCTCCGGGCCCGTCCAGGGCCTGCAAACGCCCACCCTGTCAATCTGCAAAGGGGAACCTCTGCTGCTCCCCGAAAGGTGGGTGAGGAGAGCCTGCCGGGAAAGTGCCCAGCCAGAGGCCCCGGCGGGAGGGGCGGAGCCGCCAGCCCCCACGCAGACAAGGCCTGTCATTTAGGGAAGGGGTTTGTTTGCCTGAAGGTCTGCGATTGGGCTGCCGCGGCCGTCTCCGGGAGTGCAGGCGCTGATTACTGCCCTGGCTGTCTCCAGCCTGCGCCCAGCGGCCTCGCAGGGCAGCGTGGTGGGGAGCCACCTCCTCCACCCCGGGTCCCCGCCCTCCCCGCCGCCGCAGGTGGCCAGGGCGGGCCCAGCACACAGACCCGCTGGGCCTCGGTCCCCCGGGGCCGTTCAGTCCACGCCCACGTGTGGGCCTCGCCGCGTGTCCTCCAGGCCAGGCCGCCTGGGCTTGCGGCTGACAGTAGCCCATGCGGGGGTCGCGGTGGCGGCTCCTCGGGGGACCCCTCTCCTTTGCCATCTGAGCCGCACCCTCACGTCCCCAAAGGGCCCCAGCTTCCCCCGTGCAGGGTGAAGCCCGTCTCCTTGCTGGAGTGTGACATCGGAGCGCCCCAGAGGCAGCGACAATGCGAGCCTCTAAGCACGCGGTCGCAGGTGACGCAGAGAGCCCCGACCCCGCCCGTCACCCCTTCAGGACGCCCCTGCGCCCTGTGTGCCAGCCCCTGGATGTGTGGGGGGGAGGCCGGGAAGGGGGGCCGGGAGCGGGCAGTGCAGCCCGCGGGGGGCGACTCCGAGGAGTCGGCTGCCACCCCGCCCACCCCTAGGAGCTCTCCCCTGCTCCTGGCCTCTCCCCAGAGGGTGGACGCCCCCTGGCCCTGGAGCTGTCCAGCGGGGACAAACCCAAGCCCAGGAAGGGATGCGGGCGTGGGGGGGAGGGGACCCCCACTCTCACCGCACAGGCTCGGGGCGGCCAGGGGGCGCCGTGCAGCTGCTGGGCACGGGACTCCGGCCACGCAGCGGACGCCCCCCAGGGCCATCCTGCCCGGCCAGCGGAGGGTGCGGTGGGCGCTTGCAGGGGGTTCGCGGAAGGAGACCAGGCTGGGGCGTCTCAGGTCGGGCTCCCAGGAGCACAGGCACGCTGGGGCC